TATGATGATAGGGAGCTGCCAGCCCTTTCCCTTTCACATTGGTTGGCGATTGGCAGAGCCGGTGCTCATCGTCCAGTTATTCCTTCCTTTCAACTGGAAATGTTCTGCGAGCCCATCCGATTAAAGCGTTGCTGGTTGTCTTTCGGTGTTCCCTGCAGCTCAATCAACCCGACAATATTGGCCGCTCAACATAATATCCAACAACAGCTACCTTCAAACCACTTCAAATTCTCATAGTTCTTATAGAGCCCCGGCTTGATGGATATGTTGCGTAACCTCATACGATCCGTCTGCTGGTATTTCTGGCCTTCCCATAATTGGCTCCGGATGGCTCAAGCGCGTTCTCATATCTATATCAAGCGGTAAGGCTGATCCGTGCTGTGCCTTAGGTCACCGCACAATGACAGACGTCTCGCAGAAGCAAAGACGACCTGCAAAAATTAGCTGGGAAGTCAAATGTGTTGTTTGCCTTGCTTTGCTGGGTTGTATTCCAAACACGAAGCCTAGTTAAAATTTCGACGCGTAAAAATCCGACTTGTCTCCACTCTTTTGTCCTCCACATTTGGAACGCAATTCACCAGGTCATACCAGAATTCCGGCATAAAACACCATCATGGAGGGTTATGGGGTTCAGAAAATAAGAACAAACTTTCCTGACAAGGCTAGATGAAAGGGGATGCCAGTCTTTGGCAACGAAGTAGAGGACAAAGAAGTACAAGAATCAAGCCAGCACAAGGAACAAAACAGAACCAGATACAATGGATATCTGGAACAAAATTTTCAGTTACTTGGGCCATTTTACAATATATACTATGTTGCGAAACACTGGTGCCTTTCTAAAAAAAAAAAAAAAAAAAAAAAAAAAACAAAAAAAAAAAATTACACCCCGATTACTCTGGAGTCGCCACTTCGGGTGAGATTTTCCTCCACTTGTTTCCTTGATTCGGTGTGTTGGTACGCGAGCTGACGTTTGGAGAGGCTACCAGCAGCAACCGCAAAGAGCGCCGTAATGATTGCCAGGGCCCTTGGTCTTGCATGCGTGCGGCCATGCTTGACGGGTATCAATATCACTAATGCACAACACAGGCGGAAGGAGGCAGGCTCGTTTTGCCTCAGTTGCCGCCATGCAGCCGCATGTGAGAAGAAGCTGTTGAAAGATGATGCCCGTCCTCCCCACTGCTAGACAGGTATTCTGCCATAGCAAAGGTGGGAGGCATTGAGATGATCGACTTCAATAGGCAGCAGACGACCGTCTTGACCTTGGGGACTTTTTCTCTGGCTGAGAACGGCAAATTGTCACTCACACTAGCTCTGGACCAGCAACTTCTGATAGAGTGGTTAAATATTGCTAGAGCCCCACCCTCCACATGTCACATTTTGGGCCATTACAATTCCCAGATTATCTCTGGTCTCATGATCTTCGGTGGGAAGTGGTTTAATATCCTAAAAACGGGAGACGACTTAGAGCAAAATAAGGCGGAGAAATGGCACTAACGGGCCGAAATTCTAGATTAAAAATAAGGGAGGAGCCGTTCAGGGATTGGTTTGGTTCCCGTCTCCCAGTCGCTGATACCAAAGGAACAGCCTCTTTGGCCCTTCATGAAGCTCCGCATTCAACATCTTGCATACGTTTAACGGCTGTGTGAATTCGAAGCTGAAATACTACAAGGATCCCCCAGATGCCTTATTTGCTTTCTAGTTGCTGCAGTCAAACCACTCCAGTGAGCTCTGCTCTTTTTTCTTTTTTCATTAGGCTTAAAAGCGTACCTTTCCCCTCCCAAGCACTACCTTTCTTTTCTCCACCCTTCCCCGTTTAGAGTCTCCCGGCATCGACGATGGCGAATAATGCGTCCATTCCAGATCCCGAAACAATACGAGTGGCTTTGGAAGAAGCCAGGAATAGCGAAGATGGCAGTATGGACCCAAGAATGACCTCCATTCTTGAAACCGCTATGGCGAAGT